AGTCCTGGTAATGCTGAGCTGCTTCAATTAGGGCCAGGAAGAAATGCAGGAACCCCCCTGAGAAGCCACAGGGACCACCCAGTTCAGGGGAACTGAGATTTCCATGGCATTGAAGGCAATAAAACCCACCTGTTGAAAATTGCAATGCAAGATGTTTTCNGGGCTGGGCTGTGAAGCAGCAGGACATGGATTGAGCATCCCCAGCCCTCTGCTCTCAGGTTCCATGGGGGGAATGGCAGCGAGCAGGGAGCACGTCCCTGAGCAGAGCCTGAGAGCAGCACAGAGCCCAGCCCGCCCCAGGTCGATACCAATCTCTGGTTCCATGATGTCAGATTGCAGAATGGGCACCCCAGGGGGATGATGAAGGTGACACCGAGCCACCAAGGAACCACAGCACTTCTCCTGCTGGCCAGCCTGACCTTCAGAGATCATTTTCCCTGCTCCAGACCAGCAGAACATCCCTCAGGACGAGCCCAGTGGATGCTTTGATTGGCTCCTGAGGAGCTCAGGCATTGACCTGGCTGTTTAATGGAGCCCAGTGGATGTTTTGATTGGATCCTTGAGGAGCTCAGGCATTGACCTGGCTGTTTAATGGCTCTCCCAAGCACAACCTGAGGAGCCGTGCAGCCCCCAACCCGTCCTTGGGGTGTTAAATGACTCCAGCCTCCCCTCAAGGGCTGGGGCCATCTGCTCAGAGTGGGGATTGATCCAGTCTGACAGAATTCCACAATTCCAAATAAAAAGCTGCGGCTGAAATTACGCATGGAGTGACCTCAAGGCACTCAGTTCCTCTCCAAGAGGAATTTGTTCTTCCAGCAGAAAACCCTGTGGACCCAGCCCCAGTGCAATGTGCAGAGGTCAAGGCAGGACCATGCAGGTCCCTCTCGAGGCTTCCAGAGCACCAGAGAGGCTGCAGAGGGTCTGCAGAGCCCCTTCCTTTTGGAATGGTGGGGGACACAAGAGAGATGATGGATTTTTGACCTGGCTGACAGAAGAGATTTGATAACAGGATGCCTTGGCAAAAGCAAACGGAACTTTGAAAATTAGACCTGCATTGCAAGAAGATTCAATCAGATGGATTTACCAGAAAAGGAAAAACCCATTAAACTCTGCAAGCAAGAGTTGTTGTTATATGCATAAGTTTGTGTGTGTGATTTTAACCT